AGATGGTGGAATTTGAATTCAATAAAAATATCTGGAATTAAGAATCCAATGATGATCGTGAATCCATTGCTGATTGTTGGAAAAACCCATCTGGTTCACTAATGTCCTTCAGGGAAGGAAACTGCCATCCTTACCTGGTCTGGCCTACATGTGACTCCAGACCCACAGCAATGTGGTTGACTCTTAACTGCCGCCTGAGCAATTAGGGATAGACAATAAATGCTGCCTGGTCAGCGACACCATCATCCCATGAACAAATAAAGGAGATCTGCTACACTTGCCCTTCTCGAGGGTAATTGGGAACAGACAATAAAGCCGTCCCAGCCAGTGGCATACACATCCACAGAGCTATAGAAATCATACAGCACAAAGCAGGGGCCAGTCAGCCCGTCTTCTTCATACCAACCCAAAGACACCTAGATGACCTTTCTTATCCCATCTTCCTGCACACAGCCTATAGCCCTGCAGCTTACAGGTGTACACCCAGGTACTTTGTCAAAGGGTTTAGAGTCTCTGCCTCCACCATCAAATTCAGGCAGCAAATTCCAGACACTCACCACCCCCTGTGTAAAAATGTTTTTCCTCACATCCCCTCTAATCCTTCCGCCACTTAGCTTGAATCTATGACCCCTGGTCTTTAGGTTCCCCCTATCTACTCTATCCCTACCCCTCACAATTTCGTATCCCTAATCATGTCACCCCTCAGCCTTCTCTGTTTCAAAGAGAACAAGTCCAACCTCTCTGCACAGCTACAAGTCTCCAGCCCTAGCAACATTCTAGCAATCTCATTATCAAATTTGAAAACAAAAAGGACTTGTAGTAGCTCAATCTAAGGGTGTTAGCGAGAAGGGAATTCTACAGGGGCTACAGGAACAGAGTGGAACATGTGTCCAGATGGATAATCCAGTCAATTGTGGGTCAAGCTGGAGCACATGGACTGCAGCGGTTCAAGAAGGCAGCTCACCGCCACCTGCTCAAGGGGGCAACTAGGGACAGGCAAGAAACGCCAGCGACGTCCACATCCCGCGAACGAATTTTTAAAAAGCACGGCCCAGAAACAATGGGCCGAATGGCCTCCTCCTGTGCAGTATGGCTCTACAATTCCCTGAAATGAAAGATGTTGAAAGATTATTTGGATGGGAGGTTTTCGAGTTGGTTAAAGCTTGACTCCTTTGACCTGATGTAACTGGGCCTCTGCCAAGCTGGCAGCCATAACGACAGCTCACAGTGAGAGCTCCTGCAGGAATTCACAAGGACATCCATAAAGTTGCTTGTGAACCAAATTCTTGTGAAAGGCATTTTTTTCAGCGATGAAGAAGTCTAAAAGCAAACATATAAAGGAATAACTGGCGTCCAAACTCAAGGCGTCCTAAAATTCTTCAAGGCCGACCAAATACTTCTGGTGTCTATTCATTGCTGTTACATAGGGAAAGACATTTTTACAGAGCAAGACCCAACAATGTGATCAGAAACAAAAAAGTCTATTTTTTTTTATATAGCAATAGAAGTAAGATACTGCAGATGCCAGAAATCGGAAATAAAAAAACACGGAGAATACTGGAGAAACTCAGCAGGTCTGGCAAGATCCACGGAGAGCAAAACAGAATTAACATTTCGAGTGCAAAATACCAAAAGATATAGGAGCTAAATTCGGCCATTTGGCCCCTCAACTCTGCTCCACCATTCAATCATGGCTGATATGTTTCTTTAACCCATTCTCCTGTCTTCTCTCCATAACTCTTGATCCCCTTACTAATCAAGAACCTATCTATCTCTGTCTTAATTACCTTCAATGGCTTGGCCTCCACAGCCTTCTGCAGCAATGAGTTCGTCAGATTAACTCCCCTCTGGCTGAAGAAATTCCTCCTCATCTCAGTTCTAAAGGGGCGTCCCTTCACTCTGAGGCTGTGCCCTCGGGTTCAGGTCTCTCCTACTGGTGGAAACATCTTCTCCACGTCCACTCTATCCAGGCCACTCAGTATTCTGCAAGTTTCAGTCAGATGTCCCCTCATCCTTCTAAACTCCATCGAGTACAGGTCCAGAGTCCTCGACCGCTCCTCAGTAAGGCATTTGATAAGGTCCATGGTAGGCTGATGGAGAAAGTGAAGTCACATGGGGTCCAGGGTGTACTAGCTAGATGGATAAAGAACTGGCTGGGCAACAGGAGACAGAGAGTTGTAGTGGAAGGGAGTTTCTCAAAATGGAGAACTGTGATCAGTGGTGTTCCACAGGGATCTGTGTTGGGACCACTGTTGTTTGTGATACACATAAATGATCTGGAGGAAGGTATAGATGGTCTGATTAGCAAGTTTGCAGATGACACTAAGATTGGTGGAGTAGCAGATAGCGAAGGGGACTGTTGGAGAATGCAGCAGAATATAGATAGGTTGGAGAGTTGGGCGGAGAAATGGCAGATGGAGTTCAATCCAGGCAAATGCGAGGTGATGCATTTTGGAAGATCCAATTCAAGAGTGAACTATATGGTAAATGGAAAAGCCCTGGGGATAATTGATGCACAGAGAGATCTGGGTGTTCAGGTCCATCGTACCCTGAAGGTGGCAATGCAGGTCAATAGAGTGGTCAAGAAGGCATACGGTATGCTTTCGTTCATTGGACGGGGTATTGAGTACAAGAGTTGGCAGGTCATGTTACAGTTGTACAGGACTTTGGTTCGACCACATTTGGAATACTGCGTACAGTTCTGGTTGCCACATTACCAAAAGGATGTGGATGCTTTGGAGAGGGTGCAGAGGAGGTTCACCAGGATGTTGCCTGGTATGGAGGGCGCTAGCTATGAAGAGAGGTTGAGTAGATTAGGATTATTTACATTAGAAAGACGGAGGTTGAGGGGGGACCTGATTGAGCTCTACAAAATCATGAGAGGTATAGACAGGGTGGATAGCAAGAAGCTTTTTCCCAGAGTGGGGGACTCAATTACTAGGGGTCACGATTTCAAGGTGAGAGGGGAAAAGTTTAAGGGAGGTATGTGTGGAAAGTTCTTTACGCAGAGGGTGGTGGGTGCATGGAACACGTTGCCAGCGGCGGTGGTAGAGGCGGGCACGATAGCGTCATTTAAGATGTATCTGGACAGATACATGAATGGGCAGGGAGCAGAGGGATACAGATCCTTGGAAAATAGGCGACAGGTTTAGATAGAGGATCTGGATCAGTGCAGGCTTGGAGGGCCAAAGGGCCTGTTCCTGTGCTGTAATTTTCTTTGTTCTTTGTTCTCACGTGACAACCACAGGATCATTCCTGTGGATCTCCTCTGGACTCCCTCCAATGCCAGCACATCCTGCTGGGCCCAAGCCCTGGGGCATTGGACAATGAGATGGACTTGGAAAACCAACCAATGCAACAGATTCCTATGCCTGCCTGCCACCTTTATTGCCTCCATCGGTGAAGGGGGTAAATAAAAGCCCCAGCTCTCTGAAGTGAACCTTCTGGACCATTACTTATCAGCAAGGGTGGCCATCTTTGTTTGTGTTCTCCACCTATTACTCCACCCCAGGCCACAATCTAAACCCCTACCTGTAACAAATTGAGGAACAATATGTGTGAAGAGTTATTTACCCAGGCACATTGAAGATTCCAAAAGCAATTCTGTTTGTTACTGGAGCAGAAAACCTAGCAACGTGTTGAGGTGTGTGTGTGAATATCTCTCAGTCATAACAACGGCCCATTTAATCATTGAAGCACCAAGCTCATTTGCGAATGTGAACGTTTGATAATGGCTGCTTGTTTCGTTATGAGGTTGGGTCCAGCTTTTAGGAGGTTGGTAGGAGGTCCATTTGGGTGCAGCCTTTCCCAGTTGGTCAGCCCACATGGGAGGCACAGCGTTCCACCCAGTAATCCACCCTGTGCTCCTGATCAGGAGCTCGTGGTGAGTGTCACAAGATCACTCAGGGGTATTGAAGGATATGGGGATAACGGAATCCTGAGGTGATCTAGAGGAGGGAGGGGATGACAGCGCGGATTTTAACAGAGCTGCCAGCAAATTGTTTTGTAAACTCAACCCTGGCCGACACGAGGATCCATCACGAGGGAATGGTGTCAGGATCTTCCGATCAACACCAGCAGATGCTGGGAATGAACAGCAGGACGGATGGACAGACAGGCCAGCGTTTCAGTCAATATTCAGCACCATCTCTATCGGGGGGGTGGGGTTCGGCCGACATCCTCGCTGTGGGAGAGGTAGCTGGTAGGGTCAGTGTAGGGATCGAAAGCCATCTGTGAACCCATGACCAACATAAGAACTAGGAGCAGAAGTGGGCCCCTCAAGGCTGCTCCACTATTTAATATGATCATGGCTGACCTCGTCTCATCTTCAACTCCACTTCCCTGCCCCATTCCCCATAACCCTTCAACCCGTTACTAATTAAAAACTGTCTGTTTCCTCCTTAAATTTACTCAATGTCCCAGAATCCACTATACTCTGGGGGAATTAATTCCACAGATTCACTACCATTTGACAGAAGTAACTTCTCCTCATCTCTGTTTTAAATCTGCTCCCCCTTACCCTAAAACTATAATCTCTCGTTCTATATTGCCCCACATCTCTGGAATTAAGTCTTTTCTGAACTGCCTCCAATGTAGTTACAAGCTTCCTCGTATAACAGACCAGAAATGTACAAATGTCCAGATGCAAGTCTCACCAATGCTTTATACAATTGTAACAACACTTTTCCTACTTTTATATTCCATTCCTTTAGCAATAAATGCTAAGGTTCCATTTCCCTCCTTTGTACCTGCTTGTACCTGCATAATAATGTAACTCATACATGAGGGCACCCAGATCTCTCACTACGAAAGCATTTTGAAGTTTCTCTTCATTTAGGTAAGAAACACTGACATCTCACTCGATCCCAGCCACTAGCAAGATTCAACTCCAATGATGGAAAACTCATCAGGGACAGCTTGATGCTGGCGCGTATAAAATGCAAGGTTACACATGAGGCGAACATTCACTGGGTATTTTCCCCTGTTCTCCTTGTACTTACCCACGAGTTTTAATGAGGCATACTTATTCAACTCTTTGCCTGGGACTTGCTGCTCGAAGGAATGCGAGCCTTGGCCCAGAGTGGGGTAGGAATGAGGTTGGGGCATCTGCGAGATCAGAGGGTAGGTCGGTCCTGTGTTATTCATCTGCGTCTGGTCTGCAAAATATTTAAAGGGAACACAATCTTTGTTGTTAATACAAGAGAAAAATGTGTGAACTGTATTATTTACAATCTCTAACCACATACATCAAGGAGATTGTCCTTCCATTTCGCAGATAAAGCTAGCCAAAGACCTGAACATGAACATTGCACAATACAATGACCTGGGACTGTTAACACTATCCGTAAAACCACTGGAGATAAACTCTGATAATGTGAACCGTGATAATATGAAATTATTTCAAAGAAATCTTGTCCTTAGTCCCCAGAGACATCCCATTATGAGTTCAATCCCATCAATAAAATATTAACATGATTTGCTCATATCACACATGACATAGTGCAGCAATAACATGAATAAAATACAATGAGATATGATTCTCAGAACAGTATGTTCCTGCAAAGCTTGGCACATTTTTAATAGGTCATAAAACAATCTGATAAATTCAAGATGCTGTTTCCATTCTGTTGGCTTGCAGAGGAGATTGTTTGCATAAAAAGGGAGATGGTAATTCTCTCGGTAGAAAGAATAAACATAAAAACTTTCAGCACAAATGTGATGATACGAGACTGTGGGATGTTTACGAGGATAATGTACAAAAGCAGCAATGGGTATTCCAACAGAGCCATCTGTACACAACTTATCGAAGTATTGGGACTTCAGTCTCATCTCTGGTTGTTGTAAGATGTACATGAAAGGAACTCATCCTTCTGACCCTCTCGGGATGATACAATGTGCGGGGTTGAGATCTTCCAGTTTGCAATGGTCTACCTCCTTCACTCTATGCCAGGTGATCCATGAGCCAAGTATCACAACCCTCTCAGCACCATCCTTCCATCCCTTTCTCCCTCATGTGTTTAACTACATCTACGCTGTTCACTGCAAGACCTGAATTCATTTTGATCTCTCAAGGTCATAGGAAACAGGACCATTCGGCCCCTCGAACCCGCTCCACCAGTCAATGGAATCACAGCTGATTAGGGTTGATACAGAATCATAGGAGCCCTGCAATGTGGAAGCAGGCCATTTGGCCCATCATGTGCACACTGACCCTCTGAAGAACACCTGACCCAGACCCACCACTCTACCCTATCCTTGTAACCCTGTGTTTCCCATGGCTAATCCACCTAAACTGCACCTAAATCTTTAGACTGTGGGAGGAAACCGGAGCACCCAGAGGAAACACACGCAGACACGGGGTGAATGTGCAAACTCCACACAGACAGTTGCCCGAGGGTGGAATTGAACCCGGGTCCCTGGCACTGTGAGGCAGCAGTGCGAACCACTAAGGGGAGGCGATGGCCTAGTGGTATTATCGTTGGACTGTTAATCCAGAGACCCAGACAATGTTCTGAGGTGCTGGACAAGTTCAGAACTTTACACCTTCTCCCATCAGCAGCTCCAGATCAGCCCAATGGCCTAGTGGTATTATTGCTAAAATACTAATCCAGAGACTCAGGTAATGCTCTGGGGATCTGGGTTCAAATCCTACCGCAGCAGATGGTGGAATCTAATGATGACTATGAATCCATTATCGATTGTTGGGAAAAACCCATCTGGCTCACTAATATCCCTTTAGGGAAGGAAACTTCCATCCTTACTTGGTCTGGCCTACACGTGACTCCAGACCCACAGCAATGACTCTTAACTGCCCTCTGGGCAATTAGGGATGGGCAATAAATGCTGCCTGGCCAGCGACACCCTCATCCCGTGAATGAATAAAGAAAAAAACACTAAGCCACCATGTCTTACACACATGGCTGTCCTTCTCCCCCATTCTGTTTGACTCCCTTTTCAATCAGAAATCTGTCCCACCTGCCTCAGTGCCAGCTTGAGATTTGCAACCAACTCCCTACAAAGTCCATCCAATGACAATTGAAGTAAATCCAGATAAGAAGATGCAATTGGCTAGTGGAGGTCTCAGATGGATGTTTTCACAGTGAGACACACATGATGGAACCTACAGAGAATTCCACAAACACATTCACCAGCCCCCCGGTTCCCCCAGGTTTTAGTACAACCATAAGGATCAGGAGCAGGAGTAGGCCATTCAGCCCCTCAAACCTGTTCCAACATTCAGTAGGATCATGGCTGATCTGACACTCATCGCCAAAGTAAACAACAATTACCAAATCGATTCAAAGACTCAGAAATAAAAACAGGAAGTACGGGAGATACTCAACAGATCTGGCAGCTTTGAGAAAGAGAGAACATTGCGATCCCAATATACTACTTCTTCAGGACAGAATAAAGACTATTAAAGGTTTGTATTTTTTTTATTCGTTCACAGGGTTAGGGCATTGCTGCCCAGGCTAGCATTTATGATCCATCCCTAATTGGCCAGAGGGCAGTTAAAAGTGTGTCTGGAGTCATAGAACATAGAACAGTACAGCACAGTACAGGCCCTTCGGCCCACGATGTTGTGCCGAACTTTTACCCTAAACCTAAGGTCTATCTAACCTCCACCCCTACCTTATACTATCATCCATATGCCTATCTAATAGCCGCTTAAATGCCCCTTATACGGCCGACTCCACTACCCTCTCCGGCAATGCATTCCACGCCCCTACCACTCTCTGAGTAAAGAACCTACCTCTAACGCCTCCCCTATTTTTTCCTCCACTCACTTTAAAACTATGCCCCCTTGTAATAGCTACCTCCACCCTAGGAAAAAGTCTCTGGCTGTCCACTCTATCTATACCTCTGATCATTTTGTACACCTCTATCAAGTCACCTCTCATCCTTCGTTGTTCTAAAGAGAAAAGCCCTAGCTCTCTCAACCTTTCCTCGTAAGACCTTCCCTCCATTCCAGGCAACATCCTGGTAAACAATGCTTTGACAGTCATCATTAGACCCATATTTCCAGATTTTGATTGAATTCAAATGTCATCATCTGTCGAGGCAGGATTTGAACCAGGATCCCTAGATTAATAAGGATCTAGGGATGACAGCGCAGCTGCCTAATGTGGTAACAATATTTTCGAATTTGACCTGTTCAGGGTTTGGCGGGTATTTCCGATTTCAATGCAAAGAATATGAAGAAATGACATTTAACCTATAGACAGAAACCCAATTAGATTTTGTAACACCAAGTTTGAAAGGCATTTTGTGGGTAAATTTTGAAAATTTCGAACATAACTGACTGAAAAGAGTAATTACTGGGAAGGGCGACGTGGGGAAATGGTCATCACGTTGCACAGGAATGTGTAAAACCCCTCTGTGTTTCTGCACTGAGCAGTGTCCAATATTGATCTGTTGTAAGCGTCACACTCAAGACCTTGAGGCCTGATGATCTAGGAGCAGAACTCAGCCTGGGGGAGTAACTTGGAGGTCCAGCCTCCCTGCCCCTTGGATTGATGCCAAGGAAACTGTGTTTGTAATGGAGTCACACAGCTCGGGTCACAATCTGTAAATCCTTCCGCCATACCTCAGTGACCAGCTGGTGAGATTCCTGGTCAGTGGTGTGATGGAAAGGAACTGGTGACTCAGTCGGAATACCATTACATCTGATTCCAAATTCTTCCTCACAAACTGCAGGGTGAGTTTTATCATATTATGGTCACTTCTCCCAAGGAGTTCCTTCACCTTAAGTTCCCTACTCCAGTCTGTCTCATTACACATTACCAAATCCAGAATTGCCTGTTCCCTAGTGGGCTCCACCACAAGCTGCTCCAAAAATCCATCGCGTCGACACTCCACAAATTCCTTGGCTTTGCATCCGCCACCAACATGATTTTCCCAGGCCACTTGCATATTGAAGTCAATAATTTCTTTCCTACATGCCTTTCCTATCTCCTAATTTATTTTTTTGAAAACACATGCAGTGTGCCTTAATGACTATACCCCAATAGCTCTGACTTCAATAATCACGAAGTGCTTCGAGAGGCTGGTCATGGCCATATTGACTCCAGACTCCCAGCCTGCCTCGATTCCCTACAATTTGTCTGCCGACATACCAGGTCCACAGAGGATGCCATATCCCTAGCCCTGCACTCATCCCTAGAACACGTAGACAACAAAGACACCTATGTCAGACTTCTGCTCGTTGACTGCAGCTTCATCTTCAACACCATTATTGCCTCCAGACTGATCTCAAAAATCTGACACCTAGGTCTCAGCTCCGCCCTCTGACCCACAGGTTGCAATCCGTGAAGATAGGTAATTGCACTTCCTCCACAAAAACACAACACTGGACCCCCCCCACCCCCCCAAGGAGCGTCATCAGGCCCCTAACTGTAATCCCTGTACACATACGACTGTGTTGCCAAATTCCAAACGAACGCCATCTACAAGTCTGCTGATGACACCACCGTAGTGGAGCAATGACAAGTCAAACTACAGAAGGGAGATAGCGGGCTTGGTAATGTAGTGCAACGAAAACAATCTGTCTCTTAATGTCAGCAAAACTAAAGAACTGATCATCGACTTCAGAACAAAAGGAGGAGAAGACGCCCCCCTCTACATCAACGGAACTGAGGTTGAGAAGGTGAAGAGCATCAAGTTCCTCGGATTGATGATAATTGACAACCTGTCCCAGACTTCCCACGTAAACGCAGCAGTCAAGGTGGCACAACAACACCTCTGCTTCCTCAGGCAGCTCAGGAAATTTGGCATGTCCATAAGGTCCCTCACCAACTTCTACAGATGCACCACTGAAAGCACTGTTCGGGTGCATAATGGCCTGGGATGGTAACTGCTCTGCCCAGGACTGTAAGAAACTACAGAAGGTGATATGCACAGCCCAGAACATCATGGAAGCCAACCTTCCATCCATGGACTCTCTTTACACGGCTCGCTGCCATGGGAAAGCGGCCAACATCATCAAAGACCCATCACATGATCTTCTACAACCTCTTCCTTTAGACATAGATACTGAAACCTGAGTGCACACACAAACAGGTTCAGGAACAGCTTCTTCTCGGCCATTACCAGATTGATGAATGGACTCTAGCCTTAAATAACGTAACCTGCAATGTAACCTGTATGCCTCTAAGTC